AAGCCCAAAACCCAAAACCCGAAGCCCAAAACCCAAAACCCGAAGCCCAAAACCCAAAACCGAAAGCACAAAACCCAAAACCCGAAGCCGAAACTCCAAAGCCCTGATGAAGCAAAAGTCCTGGAGGACGTCCGGTCGACCGTGCGTGGGCCACAGAAGGCGCCTGCTGTAGCACGGGCCACCTCTGCGGCTCTGTGTAAAGGGTTTAGGGTTCAGGGTTTAGGGTTTAGGGGTCCCTTTAAACGGATCTATAAGGGTACCTTTAAGGGATTCCTTCAAGGGATTTTTAGGTTTTAGGGTTTAGGTTGATGGTATAAATCCTGCAATACCTGAATGGCCCTAGACCACGGGAAGTATGGTATATTCTTTATTATGGGTGATGCAGGATTTATATCCTCAACAGTTGGAATCCATTTCAGGGTTTACTTGGACGGTCGGGGGACTGGGTAAGTAGGTAGCAAGTAGACTTGTAAGTACCCCAAAACGGATCCTTGTTGGGTTTCTGATACCTATAGGTCTAGAAGATGACTACTAAGTCCCTCCGACGCTCCAAGTAGCGTTTGGGTTATTGTTGACACCTCTTTTCCGTCTGCAGGAGAGCCTAGGGTTCAGGGTTGCTTTGTTCAAAGCCTCTTTTCCGTCCAGCAGTAGGTTAGAAAAGCCCGAGTTCGAGCAGGCGGGTATGGCGTGTTGGCCAAACAACTTGATCCCTGCGACTGGAAATGCCAGTGTTCAGGGCTTAGGGTTTAGTGTTTACAGTTCTGGGTCGAGGGTTTACCTACTACTGAGGGCTGCAAGGGAATTTGTACTGCCAAATCTAGAAGGACTAATAGCAGGAGCAGGAGTAGGAGTCGTAGCAGTAGTAGTAGTAGTCGTCGTCGTCGTCGTCGTCGTAGTCGTTGTCGTGGTCGCCCTCGTACTTCTATCTGTTGCAGTGGCAGTAGCCGTAGCAGTAGCAGCAGTAATAGCAGCCGGCAGGAGCGGTGGAAGAAGCGTCAGGTGGAGGAGGAGGAGGAGGAGGAGGAGGCGGAGGAGGAGATGAGAGATAGAAATACAAATGATGACAATGGTGATTTCGTAACAGAACTAAGGTTGCTTTCTTGTACCACGACCCCGTTTAAGCTGCAGTGCTCTTGAACGACAGATGATTTGCCGAGAGTCGGTCTCATCGATGGCATTCTCGATGTTCTCGCAGTCATTGCCTTCAAGTATTGCAATCGTAGCTTAGGATGTCCGATTAGGGTTTAGGGCTGAGGGTGCGGATTTTGTGCTGAAGGGTTTCGGACGTAGTGTTGCGAGCGCCGCCTTTGAAGAACTCGGCCAAATGCGTCAGCGACCTCGGCTGTGAAAGGTGAAAACTGTACAGGGTAAGGCCTCAGGTTTCCTGAAAGGGCTCCTTTAAGGGATCTATTTAGGCTTCCATAAGGGGGAGTTTAGGGAACTTAGAGGGTCATGGGACTTAGTAAGTAGGTTATAAGTGGTTATAAGTCCCGTAGGTGGAGATATCCTAATTGTAACCTTCCTTATAACCTTCCCTGTTAAGTCCCTTGACCCTGTCAGCAGGGTCGCTCTGGTGAGGGCCGAGTATCCCAACCAGCCAGATCGCACACTGGACGTTGAGTGATTGCAAAACCCCTCCAGACCCTCCGACAGAAAAACGACGACGTGACTTCCCAAGTAGTACTAGTGGTAAAAGTACTCGTTTAGTACTAACTATTACCAATAGTAATAATAATAGTACTTGTAATAGCAATAGTACTGTACTAGTAGTGGCAGACAGCTTCTTGAAGCCAAAACCGGAAATGGAGCTCATCCCTGGGTCCCCCAAGATTTGGCTCAAAGGCATTGCTGCTTCTACTTGTTGAAGTTCGCCGCGGGCTCTCAACCCATTACGTACTATAAACCTGCATGACGCATGTTTGTTGAACTGCCAAGATACAGCACATGAGCCATCCCTCAACTCCTCTCCTGTCGTATCCACCCATCTGCGTCCCTGAACCCTAAACGCTCAACCCTAAACCCTAAGTGTTAAGCCGGAGCACTCTGAGATGCGCTCTGCACAGGGGTGAGGGTCCAGCTGACCTGCCGAGAGTGTGCCAAGTGGGTTGTAAGCGAAACCTTCCTCAAAGGCTCATGGGAATTGGGGATTAGGGTTTAGGGTTTAGGATTTAAAGTTCCGTTTAAGGGTACTAGAGAGTTCTATAAAATGGTTCCCTCTTGAGGGTTTGGGGTTTAGCGTCTACTTAGAGGATAGTGGGACTTAATACCTAGGGTTCCTTAAAGGGGGGACTCTGGAAACTCGGGGCCAAGGCTTTTGCGCAAGGAACCATCAAACAGCCGCCGCCTTTTGTGTTTAGGGTTTAGGGTTTAGGTCTTTGGGTGTACATTGGGTTTAAGGTTGCGGGTTTAGGAACCTAAAGGGCCCAAAGAGGATCTGGAACAAGAGCCTACTCAAATCCTGTCTCAACCTAGCTCTCAGACTCTAAGATTCGTCTATGTACAACCCCGGCTTGGTTGAGAACACAAATTGAAAGCACCACTGTAGCCATCTGTCTGCACCCTCTCAAACAGACCACATGAACAGCCTAAACCTAAACCCTAAACCCTAAACCCAAAACAATAAACAGCACAAGAGCCCGGGTCCCGGAAGCCCTGCCTGGGATGCCGCTCCAGGCAGAGCCCCCGCACTCCTGAAAGACTGCAGCGTGATGACCATGATCGTACTTAGAGGAATGGGCCATTTCCACTGCATAACGTAGAATACTTTCTATCCATCATCAACATCAACATTATCATCATTATCATCGTCATCGCTGCGGCTGCGGCCACAGCTACAGACAGAAGAAGAAGAGCTTGATGGACACAGTGACATCTTCCCGTCCAGCTACAGATTGTCAGATTGCTGTGGTTTAAAGGACGAAGGCCCGTCAGCATAGCCAAGCTTGTAAATTCCCTGGCCAGGTTTGCATCAATTTCAGATGGGATCGGGATGCCGCACTACGGCCTCAGGAAACATGTGCCAGGCTTCTACATGCGCTCCCCGACGCGCCTTGTGCGCTTCCACCAGAATTTCCGGCCTGTCGGCCTCGAAGGTGGTTCGGGCTTAGCAAGAGGCCTCTAGGGTTTAGGGTTGAAGTAGAGTTTGGGGCTTGTGGGGTTTAGAGTTCTAGTTTCTCATCCAGGTTAGCATCACCTCCACAACCAAGCTTCGGAGAATGGAACATGACAACAAAAGCGCCGGCCCAGACGAATTAAAAGCTGTTCTGCAAAAACTGACGACGTCTGCAGACCAGATTGAGGCCAGAAAGCTTCGTCATTCGTACCTCCCCACACCCTTCCCTGCTGAAGCATACCCTCCAATAAGGTTTCGAAGTAATGAACGTGACAAGAACATGGGAGTTTCCGAAAATTAGGGGTACTGTATTTTGGGGCCCTTACAAAGAGGCTCCTACCATTTAGGGTACTTTATTAGGGTCCCCTATTTTCGGAAACTCCCACATGAAGGAAACAGAGATGCCACAAAGCAAACGAAACGAGACCAGAGTCGACCTCCCAGAACTGAGCCACGGTTTAGGGTTTAGGGTTTAGGGGTTTAGGGTTTAGGGTTGGGTTTAGGGTTTAGGGTTTAGGGGTTTAGGGTTTAGGGTTGGGTTTAGGGTTTAGGGTTTAGGGTTTAGGGGTTTAGGGTTTACGGCTGACTCCGAACACTCCAAACCCATGTCCCCACCAGCTGCTTTCGGCGTAGGGGTTCTGAAAGGACGCGCTCATGGAAGGAACTCAAGGAATCCGAAGAACCCACTGGGGTTCAGGGTTTAGGGCTCGGCCGGTGCGAACAAGGGATTCAGAGTTCAGGGTTAGGTCCTCGCAACGAAGATCGAAGAATCTTTTGACCAAGCTTAGGATTTAGGGTTTGGGGTTTATCGGTTTAGGGTTCAGGGGCCTGAGACCAAGTTCATCAACATTATCGCTGCTATGTATTCCCCACCCTCAAATCGCAACCATAGACCCTTGCATTCCGAACAACCTGAAGGCCAAACACGCCACACCCAAACCCTCAAAAGCCCTGATTTAAGTCCGGCATTACCCATAATAAGGAATACACCATAGTTCCCATAGTCTAGGCTCGGTATTGCAGGATTTGTATCATCAATCGTAGTAACCGGCCGGGCCTTTACCACCTCGGGGCTTTCAGCTCTGACCATTGCGGATTTTTGTTGGCGTTCTTGATTTGCTCGTTTTGCGGGGTTGCAGTTTACCATCTGAGGGTCAGAATTTCTGGGGCTGTGGGCTTCAAAGCGCCAGGTGTGCACGGCTTAACAGTGAACTCAGGCTTCATTAGGGTACTGTAGGGGCTCTAATCATTAGAATAGGTCTTTGGTGCCCATTATACTATCATCATAATAAGGAACCCCCACAATAGTATAAGTAATCATTAAGGCCCCTATATCAAGCTCAGCAAGATCTGAGGCGATGCAGCTTGACTTTCGCATTCCTGCTTGCACCATGGGTCCATCTGAGGCGAGATTTCGTGGAATGATGTCTGGCTTCCGTGAGATTTGGGGGTTTCCGAAAATTAGGGGTACCTTATTTTGGGATCCGTATAAAAAGGATCCTTCTATTTAGGATACTATATCAGGGTCCACTATTTTCGGAAACTCCCATTTAGGGTTTGGGGTTTAGGAATTCTTGACTCCCTGGGCTGAATCCGCAAAGGCTGCGGAATGCTGCAGTCGTCCCATTGACATCACATGCGGGCTGCCAATTGGGCCTTTAGTGTTACAAGTCACATGCATGCATTTACTCCATAGCCACTACCTCGGAGGTCGGCTTGGATAAATGCTCATTGCAAGATGCTCCCAAATGGGAGTTTCCGAAAATAGGGGACCCTAATATAGTACCCTAAATAGTTGGACCCTTATCATAAGGACCCCAAAATGAGGTACCCCTAATTTTCGGAAACTCCCAAATGACACCCACAAGCATTCCAGGTCCCGACAATCCTCGAGATTCTCCGAGCCTTCGCTGCACATGTCTGGGAAGACCTGGGCGATCAAATCTTCTAAGCAAGAGCCTGTGGCAACAACAAGGAGGTGCATTTGCCTTCCGACAGGATTACGTGTTGTCATCAGTGGAAGAGAGGCCGTGATCCTAATCTCTGGGGATGTCATCGGGACGGCCCTAGCGAATTTGGGGAACCGCGCAGTAATGCCAAACACGTGTATGAGATGTATCAAACGGAAAGATTGGGACTGGCGGATATACATTCAAAACTCAAGTGTACTATCACGCTGGCAACAGAAACCACAGACAGGTATTTTGCACAACATCGATCGTAAAGCAGTATCCGCCAGGCACTGACGCGCACTGGATGTCACACACTGACAAAGTTTTGTCAGAACCTGGCACGCCTGGACCTATGCTGAGGCTGCGGGAAAACAGTCCGAACTTGGTGCACCAAGCGACGGCGCATTTGTACGTGATGCCGAGAGTGCGGCGAACCTGGACAAAACAAACAAACTCACAAAATCTAGAACGGAGGGCTCCACTGCAAATGCTCCGCGTGGTCTTCTTCGCAGATGTAATCGTAATTGCCGGCTAGAAGTCCTACTTTGACTGAGAATACGACCGCGACTGCGACCGCAGCTGCTTTTGCTACTAACACTGCCACTTCGACTATGGCTACGACCACAACGATGACGACGAACATTCGGACCGCTACGACTACCACTACGACTGCGACTACGACTGGTACTTGTGGTGGTAGTGGTAGTGGTAGTAGTTGTTGTTGTCGTTATGTACACAGGCGAACTGTTGGCGAGCTTTGTGCGCTTGCTGATTGAGTCCATGCAGTTTTCCAGGCTATATCACAATTGTCAGTCTGAGTCTACCCCACGTATATTGAGCATCAGTCAATCAGCATGGGACGAGGTGCTACATGAAGAGTTTTTCGAGCATGACCGTTGTTGTTAGTCGTGTCAGCCGTGGAAGCAATAGTGATATTCTTGTCTGAAGTGGACCACTATCTATCTGAAACGACTCTCTCATCGCGATGCTCATCATGTTCTTCTTCTTCATGATAACCGTCGTCATCATCAGCACCATCATCCGCAGCAGCAGCACAGATGCCTACATGCGCTCAATTGTAGTGTCAAAACTGTATGACAGGTGTGCCAACAGCCTTGACGGCAGCAGCACCGAAGGCAAAGTCGCGCAGCATTGTGACGGCCTGCCGAAGTAGAAGCAAATGAGAGCTCAACAGGTCATGTGCCTGCAACTTGTGTGTTCAAAGTGATGGCCATGAGGATTTCCGTTGAAAATTTCAGAATTGAAAAATTCGGATGAAGCTTGAAAGCGTTCCCACGCATCACATTAAAGATGCCTCAATACTGCAGAGGCCTCCAGAGTCAGTGTCGGGTGCGTGCCCAGCGCCAGGAGCCCCACCTTTGCTGGGTTGTCGAAGGATGCTCATGTCCGAAAGAGTTTTGGAATTCAGGGGTTTAGGGTTTCGGGGCTCCCAAAAAGTAGGGCGTTGCCTCGTTTCGAAAAAAAGACCAGGGCAGGCCATGCCTGGCCCTACGAAGCGCCACTGCACATTCCACAGCTTTCATCCAGATGGGTTTGCATCTCTCAAGAAGCACATACAAGACTGAAACCCTAAACCCTAAACCCTCGGGTTGCTTTCTGGTGCTTGGCTCAGCCGGAATCCAAGGAACCCCAACCTTAGACTACACCCTGACCCCACACTCACCCCGCCTAAACCCTGAAGCCTAAAACTAGACCCCAGACTTTAAACCCTGAAGGAACCCTTCTCGGAACCCGAAGAACCCCTGTATTACCATTATAGTACTCTAGGAGTACTGCCCCATACCCGAAACCATGCACCCCTAAACACCAACATCCTAAAACCGCAAAATCCTAAAACATAAAGGTCTTAACAGGCCCTAAACCCCAAAGCCTCACAACCCGCCCAAAGTCCTAAGACATAACGGTCTGAACAGGCCCAACACCCCGAAGCCCTACAACCCTCACAACTTGAACCCAAGCAAAACCCAGCAGCCGAGGCCCGCAACCTCAGAGCAGCGAAGGCTCTGAGAGAGATGCCTTGGACACCAACGCCGACCAAGGATTTACGGGTTTTAAGGGGGTCTATGGACGAAGGCTTCATGGTTCATGGCATGTTCTAGGATGTAGATGTTACGGTTCCGCCGACCAAGGATTTAGGGGTTCGGGGGTCTATGTGGTTTAAGGGTTACCGGTTTAACGTTTTAGGGGTTTAGGGGTTTAGAGGTGCAGGGGGGTTTCTGGGTTGGGGTTTAAGCTTCAGGGTGTTGGCTTGCGGTTTGAAGGCTTTTAAGGCGTCAGGCTTCGGCTGTGGAGTTTCGGGTATTCGGGCTCAAGTCGCGGACCTTTCGGGTTTGGGTTAGGACTTTCAGGCTTCAATTTTGGAGCGTTGAGGCCTCAAGTTGAGGTTTCAGGCTGATGTTTTGGAGTTTTGGGGTTTCGGAATTTGGCTTCGGGGTTTGAGTACGAAGCATTGGACCCACCAACACCAACAGTGCAACCATGAAACGTTCATTGCAAGGTCCTTACCTTTGGTTAGTAGGGAATGGAGGAATGGGGTATAATTATAACCACTATCACTACCATTCTTTCATTCCGTACTAACCAAAGGTAATGGTCTTGCAACTGCTGTACTCACAACAGGCGAGCTGGCGGAAGCACTCCGGAGATGGACGATGGCTTCATGGTTCATGGCAGGTTTCAGGGTTTAGGGGTTTCAGGGTTTAGGGGTTTCAGGGTTTAGGGGCTTAGGGGTTTAGGGGCTTAAGCGGTTTAGGGTTCGTGGCAGGTTTTAGGATGTAGGTCTTGCAGCTCGGGTTGGGTCAACAAGAATGTACTTGTTTGACGCTTCAAGCATAGAAAGATCAGTCTTGGATACTTAGGGTGTTCGCGAAACAGGACTCCCACCACCCCTGATTGTGGGTATCCTCACTGGCGGTAAACTAAACCTCGGTTGCTGGCAGGTTCTTACTCCCATAAAGCAGCGGCACCATTTTGCTGACGAGAACAAGCGCAGGAAGTCAATTAAAAAAGAAGCAGCGAGAAGAAATGGCAGGGAGCTCCGCAGACCAAACCCTGAACCCTAAACCCAGAACTCCAGCATGGCAAACTTCTGTCTCTCGCATCTTGGAAGAAGGCCAGGCCATCGCTGGCGCGGGCAGGACCTGCCGAAGGCTTTCCGTATATAAACCTCTAGTCTAGGGGGTACCTTGTTTTGGGGTCCTTACAACAAGGATCCTAACTATTTGGGGTACAAAATTACGGTAGGGTCCCCTATGTTGGGAAACCCCATAAAGGGCTTGAAGGACACACCAGTCCGTGGCGCACCGCGAGTGATGAGCCCGGCGGTGGCAGTCGCGCTGGTGGCGGAGGATCTCAGTTCAAACACAAAGAACTCCTTTCAGGAGTTCTGCAAGGTTTCGGAAAGATTCTATGTTTGTTGCATCGTATGGGGGTTTCAGAGTATTGCAGGGTTTAAGAAGTTTAAGAGGTTTGGGCCTCGGATTTTGGAGTTCTGCTTGGTAGTCTGTCTTTTGATGACTTTGTGTCAGAGCTGGGTCACGGGCAAGTTGACTCGATTCTTGGCTCTTTTCCTGGAGCCTGGGTGCTGTGAAGCAGCTCAGCTGCCACATTTTGGCTAGTCTCACGGGGGGGTTTATTGTTACCACCATGATAGGGGAAGAGCATGACTGATCTGAGCAGTATGCACCGCTGTATGTGCTTGCCTGTAAATCCCTCTCTGCGATCTCAAACAAGAATGCCAATCACGACAGCTCATGTCCCCGCCCCCGGAAACCCTAAACCCCAAACTCTAAACCTTAAACCTCAAACCCTGAAGCCCTAAGCCTAAACTCCTTAAACCCCTAACCCTAAATCTTAAACCCCAAACCCTAAACCCTCAATCCTGGCTCTTCAAGCCGCAGAAAGAGCTTCGCAAACGATGCTGACCGAGGCTTCAACCAGATCGAGGTGCCAGCTCAAAGGGCAGAGACGCCGAGCGGTTGATGTTGAAGAGAATCTGAAGGATTACAGGCTTTAGGCTTTAGGGGATTTGAGGTTTTGGGGTTCAATGTCTACCATCTGAATGATTACAGTTTACAGTGTGCAACTGTCCGGTTCATCAGACACATCATTGCCACCCCGGACCTCGGGTAGCAATGCCATCTAACTAAGGACATAAGTGTAAATTGGCTCCGAAATCCCCAATTGCTGCAAGAATCTCGCCCCACACATTGCCAACAAGCGCCTGCGAATCCAACCCCACAAAACCGATCGGACGGCTTCAATGACTCAACACGTCGTCTGGGGAGGCCGGCATCGTTCGCGCGAAGCGGCCAGTGAGTTGACTCCTGGAAGTCCAGGCAATACTGAAGGCCTGAGATGCCGATTCGTTCATTCATCCTGTCCTCCCGGCTTCGGAAACTACCTGTAAAGCCCCGCAGCATGGAGGGATTGAAGGTTCGGCTGTCTCAGGGCGATCTGCGGCCACCCTCCCAGGGTAACAACAGGAACTGTCAGGGCTAAAGGCTCGGATAATGTGTCGGACGTGGGAACAGGAGAATGCGGGATCAGTCACGTTCTGAAAGAAAACAGCCAATCTGGAACCCACACGTGCCAGTACCACTTGCCCTGTTATCCCTGGGCAACATGCCTTGAGATTCAAGAGGGGTTTGCCCACCACCAAAGCCAACGAAGCATGAGTGCGGAAAACTACGTACAACTGGCAGCCAGCCATGACATTCATGTCATGATCATGGTTACCAAGATGATACTTGCTCCAGTAACGAGACTCTCCTCTTCTGCCACCACTACGACGACTAGGAAGTCTACTGGGGGGACTGTCCCTGGACCCTGAACCCCTAACCCCATTTTTCAAGCGCATGAGATATTGGTAGTTGTCAACATTAGGGTCCTTTTTGGATACCCTAAATACTGAGTGCCGTATCATAATAGCCCAAAAAGGAACCATGATTTTGACAACCACCCATATCAAGGACGGGGACCACGCCAAGTAGGGAGTTGGCCATCAGCAAGTACCTGGCGCAACCAAAGCACTGGGCGTAGCCGTCACTGGGCCGTCAACATTTTAACAGAATGAGGTTTAGGATTTCGAGGGGTTTTGTCTACAACCGTAACAAAGGAACCCCAAGACATGCACCTTCTGGTAGTCCAAGGATACGATTTCAAGAATAAGGTAAGGTCACTATCGGATATTGCAGGATGCATTCAGAAGGCTAACCGCTCAAGCCAAAGCTGCGCGATGGGGCACTCTTGAGCTTGTGTCGGGTTGGGCTCAGTCCGAACACCGGCAATGCCGCTGTGGATGCCTGTCCAGGAGGAACCCTGAAATCTTATGCCGGGCCTGAGATCAAAGCAGGAGGATCCCTGTGATACTGTTGAGGGTCTCCACCCTGCAGGCTGCTCTCCGCAACGGACTCCTCGAACGAATCCGAGGCATCTGAGATTCCAAGAGGTGAATAATAGAACGTGTCTGAAAAAGATGCCGAACCCAGGGCACACTCTTGCCTGCTCACTTCGGTTATCGGCATTAAGCATCAAGGATGCGCGAGGTGGCGACTGCTGTTCAACCGTGGGCTTAAAGACATATTTAATGTGCACAGCTTGAGAGCCACCTGCCGCAGAAACGAAGAGTGCAGCCACTGCTCCATAGAGGCACGCAGTTGCGATGCCCTCCGCAGAGCAAAGATCCTTGCGCCGATGAGGGAGTGCGTGAGTCCACTCACAAACTCCAATCCGAAACACGGACAAGCCACGGCAGAGACGATCACGGACCACCCATACAGTACGCAATGCGAAAGGATTCCACGATCATCACGGTCATTACTATCATCGCCACCGCAACTTTCAACAAATACGTTAAATCCGGATGGCTTGATTGAGAGTCAGATTGGATGAGGTCCGAGGATGCTTTACCGTAGCTTCTGCGCATAGAATCCAAAGCACATGAAGTCGACGATGCAGCATCACAACGACCACAACTGCGGCTTCAAAGCATAGATACCTCGACATGCCGCGACCGGGACTTGTCGAATCGGGCTGGCCATGGGCTAACAGCACCGCACTACGAAAAGTCACGATGCTGATCTGAAAAAGAGACTGGTGTTGAGTCCCACGACCCGAGATGGTGTCCTCGTAGAAGAGCTGGGCGCTCTGCATCAAAGCCCCTTCAACAGCCTGCAAGGCTTGGGGATCTGGGAGTCCTTCTGGAGCATGGTCAGAGAGAAATACTATCTACAAGGATGATAACGTCTTAGACGGAACCGTTCCCTACAGAAAACCCCACGTGATTGGTGGCAGAGCTCAGGAATCAGAATCAGGACACTATGAAACAGCCTCAGCACCTCAGCACCTCACCCCCA